CAAATACCCTAGCAACATTCTAGTAAATTATTAATATAGCCTTTAACTTATACTTTAATGTCTTTACTTTAGTATATCTAGATAACGTCCTTATCTACTTAAAAGATACCCTAGAAGACTACATATAGAAAGTATAAAAAGTTTTAAAACAGCTTAGAAAGTATAAACTCTACCTATAGCTCTCTAAATACAAATTTTATATTACTAAAATAAAATACTTAAGATTTATAATTAATAAAGAAGAAATAAAAATTAACTTAGCTAAAGTATAAAAAATACTTAAATAGTCTAAGCCTACTATAGTTAAAAAGGTTAAAAGATTCCTAAGACTATTAGGCTATATTAAATAAATAATTAGGGACTATTTAAAAATTACTATACTACTAATAAATGCAATAACTAAGAAAAAGGTAATAGTAAAATTTGTTTAGACTTTATAAATAAATAAGGCATTTATAACACTAAAATAAGCTATAACAGCTAAACTAGTGCTAAGAATATATAACCTATAATTAGATACTAAGATCTACACAGACGCATCCTTAGAAGCTAGCAGGGCTGCACTGTATTAAAAACAAAAAGACAGAAAATAGCACCTAGTTGCGTACTATTCTGCTAAGTTCTTAGGACCTAAAGTAAGGTACAGCATACCTAACAAAGAGTTAAAAGCAATACTAAACACTGTAAAAGTATAGGCTATAAAGCTGCATAGAATAGCAAAGCTATTTTATGTTATAACTAACTATGCAAATTTAGTTATGTTTCTAATAGTAAAGAAACTTTTACTAATGCATATAAAATAGGTAATAAAGCTTGCCTAGTTTAACTGCATTATTAAGCATGTTTTAGGAATATAAAACTAACAGGCTAACACTCTTAGCTAAAGGCTAGACTACTTTAATAGTAAAGAAAAAAGAACTAAAAAGTTTACACTTTTTAAAAAAACTAATAAAAAATAGATATATAATAGGCTCTAACTTATAAAAGAACTTTATATGCTTACAGCTAGTAAGCAAGAATAGAAAAATTTAATCTAAAAATATTACAAATCTCTAATGTTTAAACACTTAGAAATAGGCACTCTTTAAAAAAAGCTAAGGGCTGCTGTTTTTTAATATATACTAAAGGTAAAGCAACTATGCATAGAGGTGCTTAAAGAATGTAATACCTATAATAAAAATAACCTGTAGAGGCATAAGGCCTACAGGTACCTTTAACTAATTAAAGCCCTAAAGTTACTATAGATAATAATTACAATAGACTTTATTATAAAATTGCCCCTGTCTAAAGAACTAGAGACAGACAGAATGTGTAATATAATTACAGTAGCCTTAGACAAAACTACTAAATATCTTTATACTTAGCCCTTAGAAAAAACAATAACTGCTAAAAAATTTATATATAAATTAAAATAAAATATAATATTAGTATATAAATGCCCTAAGATTATTATTTTTAACTAAAATAAGCTGTTTACTAGTAGATTTTAAAAAGCAGTAATGCAGCACTTTAGTATAACACATAAGCTATTAATAGCCTACTATCTGTAAATAGACAGCTAAACTAAGAGAGTAAATGTAGAAGTAGAAAAATACCTAAGAAAGTACATCTCCTACACTTAAGATAATTAGGCAGCATAGCTTTTAATAGCATAACTAGCTATTAACAATGTAGAGTTAGCTATAATAATAGAAACTTTATATAAAGCTAATTTTAGTTACAACCTCTACTTTGCATTACACAGAAATTAACTTATAGACTTACAGAAGTTAATAAATTAGCTAATAGACCTATGTTAGATATATAAAAAATTAGCTATAAAAGCTAGATCTAGCTAAGAAATAATAGAGAAATATGTAAATAAATTATAACAGCTAGGACTAGAAATCTGCCTAAAAGACTATATATACTTTAATATAAAGAACTTTAAGATACCTAGACCCTCTAGAAAGCTAGCAGAAAAAAAAATAAGACTTTATAAAGTTTTATAAACTTAGTAAGACAACTGCAAGCTTAAGCTTTCTTTGCATATAAAAATCTACCTATAGTTTTATATCTCTAGACTAGAAAAAGCACTTAAAGAAATTCTTTTATCTACATAAAAATAAAAAAATAAAGAAATAGAATATAAAGTTAAACATATTATAAGTAATTAAAAAAACTAGAAAGAGTTTTTAGTAAAATAAAAAAAGTAGCTTACTAGTAAAAATACATAAAAACTAGCTAAGAATTTAAGAAATGTGCAGCTATTAGTATAAAAGTACCTTTAGGCTTATTTAAAAGAAACTAGCTAGGCAATAAAGCACTTATATTAAAAGGAATAGCTACATTATTACTAAATAGTAGCAGCTTTTAGAGATAAGTTCTAGCTAATAAAGGCTAAGAAAAGAAATAGCTCTTTATTTTAGCTTTTAAAGCTTTTATTTTGTTTAAGAAAAAAAAGTCTTTTTTTAGATACTTTACGCAATAAGCTTCTAACAGATTTAATAACTTTTAAATATAATTCTGTTTAAAATGCTCCTTATTTATTACCTCTAATATCTTCTTCTGTAAGCAGAGCTGCTTTTAGTCCTAAGCCTGTTGCTTTTTTAGTAGAAAGCGCTTATAAGCTAACTGCTTTTTTAGTAGGGCCTACTTCTAAGCCTTTGTAATAGAGGCCTTTTAAAAGAGCGCTTTCCTCTCTTTCTCTAAGCAGTCCTAGGCAGCATTAGAGATAAAAGCATTACACTTACTATACTTTTTTACACACTTAACATAGTTGTCTAAGGATAGTGTTAACACACATAATAACTTTAAGAACTAGTAAGCGCTATAAGGCCTTATCTTTGTCTAGTAAAAAGAATTAAAATAAAGAGTAATATAAAAATAATAAGACAAATAAGACTAACAAGCTATTTAGTATAAAAAAAATAGATGTTAAGGATGCCTTCTAGTAGAACAGTACACACTTTATAAATAAACTTTTACTAACACAGTTGTGTAAGCAGAGCGGCAAGGACGCTGCTAGGGAGAGGGGGCAGCGTGTTACAGTCTACAGTTAGACTAGCGTAACCCTACTAGCAGTGCTCTATAGTCTAGCTAGATTAGGACAGGGCTTGCTTAAAGACTAGTTAGAGGACACAGAGGCAGCACAGCTGCCTAAAATTACAGAAGAATGTGTTGTCTAATAGGGAGACAGGCTGTAAATCTAGGGAGCTTAAGAGAGCTTAAGGGAGCCTGCAGGAATCCCCTTAGCAAGCTCCTATAAACTCCTGCTAGCTCCTCTTAGCGCCCTAGCACATGTATATAGTTCCTGCATTAAACAACCTTTAAAAGGTGTGTTTAACATTTAGTTTATTTATTATATAAACTAAGTAGCATTTAGCTTTCTAAAGAGCTGTAATACTATTTATATATCTTACACTATATATACCTCTAACCTTGTCTAACAAGGACTGTTTAACCCTAGCCTCCCTACTACTGCACATAGGGCAAACCACAATCTAGTCACTCTATACAACCCTCCATTAGCCTAATAGCCTGTGCGTAGGACTGTACACCCTACAATTGGCCCCTACCTCCCGTCCTACTTCCCCCCTAGGAACATCATAAGACCCGAGTGCTTCTCGAAGCAAGGATTGTAACATCATGCTCCTAGAGGGAGCACTAGACTAGATCTTCTGCTAGCCCTGTTGTTGCTAATATAAGGCTAATTATTAACTTTCCTCTTACGCATTTATAGGTAATTGTCCTTGCTAAAAGGAAGCTCTGCAGCAACATCTCTGCTATAAAGTTAATAATTAGCTTACTCTTGTCCTACTATAGCTTATTGCTAACACTGCTCTCTCCCTATAGCAGATTATGTTAGTTAAAGTCACCTGTGACTACTACCTCTGTATGCAGATTAAGTAGCTGCTCTTGTTGTACTACCTCCTTAATTATGTCTAGCCTGCTAGTGAGCGCCTCTTAACATTTGTCCTTTATCCTTATTAACTTAAGGCTGGGAATGTGCACTAATACTACTACTAGCTTCCTTCCTCCCACGTGCGCTACCACTGCTGTGATGTCCGCTAAATCTACATGCACCTGTGTGGCTGCTACCTCTCTTAACACCCAGATGCAAGATTAGACCAGGTTCTGGCCTAGTCGCCTGCCAGACAGTACAAATGTTGTCTAGTGCAGATTTGTGCTGTGCAGCACAACCTCTCTGTCTGCAAGAAAGCAACTAGGCTTCTGGCCTAGGATGAAGTAAAAGCTGGCCAGCGCTAGATTGTTGTAGAGTGCGTGCTGCGACTCCTTGCCTCTCTACATGTTTGCCTGTAGGATTTAAAGCTCCTTATTTATAGCGTTAGCGTGTAAGGATCCTGTCTCTCTTTTTCTTGTACTTAGGGCAATTGTGGCTAGATGCCTGGTGTGGGCCTTAACAGCTCACGCAGCGCAGGTTAATTAATTCGCACTGCGGGCGTCCTTCTTGTCTGCATGTATCACACGTTACTAGTTGTCTGCAGTCCCTCACTCTGTGGCTAATCCTCCTGCAGTTAAAGCATTGTACTAACGTGCAACGCTCTTTAAACAGTAAGATTATAAGCCTGCCTCTGCTAAACATTACGCTGTCTAACCATAGCAGCTTCTCTGCCTTCTTTTTTATTACCACCTTAATTACTACTAACGCATGTTATTTGCTAGGCCTTAGCTTTCTAAGCTACTGCATTGTGCACACCTCTATTCTATTCTCTATTCAAAAGCGCTTTATTGCTAACTTGCTTACTTTTCTGCTCTCTGTGTCTATTGCAAGCGCTACCTTAATAAAGTCCGCCTTTACTAGATGCCACTTAGCGCCTACTAGTCTTGTCCCTAGGATCTGCGGGTCCAGCCACTTAGTTGTTGTCTGTTAGAATGCTGCTTCCTTGTCCTTGTCTACATAGAACTTAATCACGCTAGCGCTTTTGTTTGTTCTCTATACGTGGAATCCCTTAATAATCACCCTAGCAAGCTGTTAGAAGCTGTCTATGCTATGCTAGATGGCCTCTCTTGCCGCTTCTGTAGTGGCTACTTTATTAGTTACGTCCTCTTGCACCCTGCTAACATCAATCACCATCTGTCTGCTGTCCTCCCTATGTGTTGTTCCTAAGTTTGTTAATCGCGTCAATGCCGTGTTAGGCCTGGCTGGGTGTCCGCTAGCAGCAACGGCCGCCCATGTTAGCGTTGACTGCGGCGGTGTGTCAAGACGTGCTTAGAGCTGTTAGATCGTCTGTTGCAGCTTAGCGTTCTGGTCCCTAAGGTTCTGTTGCTCCGCTCTAAGAGCTGTAAGGTCCGCTCAGATGCTCTTAATAGTGCTGGTCTGGCTCTCAATAGTGCTAGTCTGGCTCGCGATAGTGCTGGTTTGGCCGGCGATGATGCTGGTCTGCTGTGCCAGCATCTCCTTTAGGCTTGTAACGAGCTGTATCACTTCATCTAGCTTAGTGCTACCTCCTCCTCGCTTAGGGGAGATGGTCTCCCGCTGGGTGGGGAAGGGAGGCAGCTTATTGTCTGCTGGTCCTTAGTCGCTTGAGAGTTGCTGCGACGCATTGGCCCTGGTCCTGGCCTGCCTGAGCTGGGCCGCTGTTGTCTGCGTCCTCAGTGCCTGCTGTGTCTCTAGCACTTTCGCGCTCGGCTTCCTCGCGCGTGCCCCGGGGGGTGCTGCCGGCGGGGTCGATGGCGTGCGGTTAGGGGTTGAGGTCGCCATCGGGGGCCCGGCACTATGTTTGGGAGGCCGCACGGGCCGTCGTGCAGCGGGAACTAGCTAAACGAGACGCTCGGGTTCGATAAAAAGTATGTCCGAGATAAATATCCTCCTTCTTCCGACTATCAGGGCAAGGTCCTGGCAGGAGCGGTTCCGCGCCTCCCGCGCAAGGTCTGTGCCGGTGCGGTTCGGCCGTCCTCCCTGCTAGCGTTATCGGAGGAGTTCATCAGTTGAACGAGTCCGAAGTGGCGAATCTTCAATGCGCACGTATAGTTCTAGAAGTAGCGCAGCGTCTCGCCACCTCTTGATATTAGAGCATGCTCGAAGCTTCGCTGCGGCAAAATAATAGGCTATACATTTATGCCGATCCCCGGCCCTCCACAAAATAGAGAGAATAATATATATAGGGTAGCAACGTACGTTTGCAAAAATGGTATTCCGGTAACGGGAGCCTAGGATCTATTACGGTTAACTGTGCATATCAACACCCTTCCCGACCCAACACCAATGCTGATTGTGTCCCTTGACACTGCGGAGCGTGACGGCCGATACTCTGAGGGCAACCACACTAGATTCTCTGAATTATTCGTTATCCATACACCATCTGCGCTTAAACCGGGGCCTTGATACTGAGGACTGCAAGGCTCTAAAATAGTTTGAAGCGCGACTGAACCTGACAGGACACTGATGTCAATAGTGCCAATATCCGTGTGCAGATACGAGCTAGAAATGTCAAACGAGATACGGTCAAGTGCCTTACCAACGCCGAGCGTCGAGAGGCATTCGCCGCTGCGTGCGTCCCAGATCTTGACCGTATCGTCCCACGACCCCGACGCGACCCAAGCCGAGTCGTGGGAATTCTACGCTACTTAGTAGGGTAGGCTACTCGCTAGTAAAATACGTTACTATAGATAAGCTAGGTAAACTATCTAGATAACCTATGCTTAGACTACTATCTTAAACTAAAGTGTGTATAGAAAGCCCTCTAAACCTTCCAAAATGACCTTTCCCCGCTTTGCCTGTTTATTTTTAACCCAGAAATACACTGACATGCTACCTGCACAAATCAAAATGCAAAGATTGCATGCAATCGCGGCCCACATGCCCGGCCTATACTTTGGTAGGTCCCGGCTGCGGAATACCAGAGCACCTGCGATACCGCCAATACCGCCAAACCCGACTACCAAAGCACTCGAGAAGGCTCGCTTCCATTGGCCGCGGATGTTGTTCGCCTGGTATGTCAACACAGGAGGTGTGTTGCCACTAGCGCCGGCAACCACAAAGAAGGTGCCGAAGTACCGTGTGGGGTTGTGATGGTGGAAACCCATGATGGAAAGGCCGATCAGAGCCAGGATGGCATTAAAGGCGATGAAAGGTGCACGGAGGCGGTAACGATCGCTGTACCAGGCCTGTGCGTACATGTAGATGCCTGTAAAGACCCACGGGGGCGCAATGAGACACTGTGATTGGGGGACATTGAAGCCTGCGGCGCGTCAGTCAAAAACTGCCAAGTGCCGTGCCAACGGTGACGGGACTTACCCATGCCGAGAAAAATGATAGGAAGGAAGTAGTTGATCGAGTAACCAACAGTCGTAACGCAGAAAAACATGAAAGCAAAAACCCAGATCTTGAAATCCGCAGCATGCGTCAGGAAGGCGCCAAAAGTGAAGGGTTCAGTAGTAGCATCTGCTCGGTCGCGATTCACGCGACGGATCACGAAATCGCGCTCCGCCTCATTCAAGAAGCGGAAGGCCTTGTGTGAGTCGTCTGGAAATCCGACAAGGAAGATGTACCCGGCCAGCGCACAGAGGCAGGATAGTATGCCTTGAATGATGAAGATCCATCTCCAGCCACCGAGGCCAGCCAATCCCTTCATTTGGCTGAGGCCATAGGCGAGAATACCACAGAAAGCTGTCGCTACGCAGCCGACGCCATAGAATACGGTATAGCGCTTTTGCATATCGTAACGCGTGTACCAAGTGCTTAGCAAGTAGACTGCCCCGGGGAAATACCCGGCTTCGAGAGCACTTTGAAAGTCAGCATCAAGTTTGCCTTTCTGCCTTCAGTTGTGCAACCTACCCGATTAGAACGCGCAGTCCAGCGAGTTCACGCCAAGAATGCACGAATCCACTGCCAATCATGACAATACCCCAGGCGAGTGCAATGGAGCTGAGAAACCATCTGGGCCCGAGTTTTCGGGTGAGGACTGTGCCAAGGGGCTGGAAGACGGTGTATGCTGCGAAGAAGTTGAGGATGATGACTGAATACCGTGTGCCGACTTGCAGTTTGAGTTCCTGGTTTAGTCCGGCTATACTGGCTGTCGAGAGGTTGAGGCGATCCATCAACGAGATGATGTACAAAATGGCGAGCATCCCAACAACTCGGTGGTCACTGTGGCCGTGGTCAGTTGGCTTTCTGAGTATCACAAAGTCACGATGCAGCTGGTTGAATCACGGGCTCTAGGCTGCGACGACGTGCCACGAAAGCTGCACTTACATGCGGCGAATGATCTTTCGCTGCTCTTGGTATGAGTAAACCTCATCATAGTCGACATTGTCCCGGCTGTGCGAGTCGCTTGCACTGTCGTGCTGAGAATATGCATTCTCAGCGATGTCGATAGGCGATTCTTTGGACGGTGTCGTAGGCATCTTACCGGATTCCCGGCGGGGTGGAAGGTTGCGTGGAAGAATTGCACTGGAGGAACCGGTGGGAGCAAATCTACATGGATCTTTATGAAGGTGACGCCGAGAACGTGGCAAGGCTTGAACTTGGACTCAACGACACTAAGAACGCCACACGGGTCGTGCCACGCCACCCATGTCGATACTTTCTATATGAAGTGGTGCCTGCATTTGGATGGGGCGTCCGAAACCTCTTCGCAAGAAAGTATATGTAAAGACGGACCAATCAGGCAGGAACAAGGATAGTTGGAGTTACACAAAATGTTCAGCGAGAGAGATAACCTGCCTTGCCGGGTAACACGAGGGCGTAATGATAGAGTGACGTTTCCCCAATTATCTAGATGTGCGCTCACTCTCCTCCAATCGCACCCATGACCCTGGTTCTCCACTGTAGGCTCAAAGTGGCCCACATGTATCGAATCTGCAGCCAAGCATCGCCATGTCCGAGGATAAATTCATCCAAGAAGCATTGTTTCTTTGGATATACGACAGGAGCATAAACGCAGGGTTTGACAAGCCCAGCGCGTGCTTGTGGGAATCCAGGATCAGGGTAGGTCCCCGCCATCGGTTTCGTGGTGCGCAAGTAGCCGTAAATAATCCACATGGTCTTGGGGACCGATCTGGTTGGACGTTTGTAGTGCAGAAGGTTTCCCGTGGTCCGTTCCAAGCCTTCTAGAACTTCGATGAGACGGTCGGCATTGTTGGTCCATGCTGTGCGATTCTCCTCGTACGGATGCAGCAGGGTGTAACGCAAGTAGTCCGACAGTTTGCCATACGTAATCACATGTCGATAGAACTGCGGCGCATGAATCCTGAGTTCTAGTGTGGACTGTTGGCCTATGTCGCATCCTCCGCATGGGCCGGGCTGCTGCTGAAGGATACTAGGTCGCACCGAAAAACGAAGGTGCTCGAAACTCTGGTCTTGAAGGTATTGCACATAGCGCATGAGAACTGATGCGATAATCCTTTCGTTCGAAGTCGCTTGTCGTGGTTCCGCTGTCTCCCGCGGTTCTGGGCGATACCAGATGCTCAGTTTGTGCAGCTGGGCTAGTAGGACAGCATGGAACACGATCCTTGGAACTTGATGCTCTGTAAACCACTGATGAAATGTCGGCATATTGCTTCGCGAGACCTACATGTTACGAGCACAGTCCAACCCCAACACAATAGGAACCAGAGTGAATGAAGTACCGAATAAACCGAAGGGTCTATAGCAGACGCAGTTGACCACCAGCGTGCTACCAATTTGGGGTGATCTTTTGAGGAACGTAGTGTGACGGTAACCGAGATATTTTTGCTCTTCAGGGGATCCGTGGTGGTAAGAACATATGATCCCTTGCGTGAGCTGAATGGAGAGACGTGAAAATCTTTCAGTGCCGTTTGTTTGAAATTTCCGGGGGCTTCTGGCGCAGGAAATAGATACATCCGCCGTTCGTCAAATGTGTTATTGACTTCAGCGATGACATACTTTAACTCGAGGTACGATGTGTAAAGATACCAGAATGACGCAGGGCTGAATTTATAATTGAGAAAACGGGCTGAAGTTAGTAGATAGACATACGGGAACTCTTCTGGATCGATAGCCTGTCCACAACAGTAAGTAAGCTCTGAATGGCTTGTAGGAGAAGGTTTGGTATCACCCGCTCTTTCAAGTAGACGTCCAATTTTCGAGAGATGGTATCATCATTACTTGTGCGATGCAAATGATCGTTTGCTGTGATATGAAGCCAGCCCCTCCTCCACCATTTCGGCTCGTCTATGGAGATCAACAAATTCGAGGTCGGGGATCGTACCGGAATGCCGACGGACAGGTATGAGTAGGTGAATCCATGTTTCTTGGGGAATATGCGATGATGAGATACATTGGACTTAATGATCTGCGTTTTGTGTATTGATATATCGTGCTGTGGCATGGTTTCCGGCCGCTCCCCACGCGCATGCTTTTTTTGCCGATACTTATGCCTGAACAGCAGAGGGCAAACGATGATAAAAAGAAAAAAGCAAAGGGTTGCTAAAATATACATTTGCTCAGATGGAAGGTTGTTGGTTGAAAGGAGAAGCAGCAGCAGCCCAAGGCGCTATATACGCCGTCTATGCCAAAGTCACGTGCTTTATCACATGACGCGGGATCGTACGTTTTGATATCTCAAAAGAGGCCTACCAGACGAAAATGGTTAGGCTTAAGAAAAGAGCTCGAGTGCTCAGCTGGATTAAGACGCGGCCCATCCAGATTGTTCAATTTTATGATTCCCAAATTCTGTATGCTATCCTGCTCTACTGAGCGGCAGCATTTCGTGCCTTGCGGCGCAAGTGCAGGATGGGGTAGATGGTGCAGACTGCAGCGCCCATCATGAATATCCCCGCAAATACTTGCAGTCGCCACCAGTCCGACCCCGCGGTTTTGACATCATAAATGGCGCCTCCAATCGGGCTGCCGATGAGAAGGCCCAGCCCTATATAAACACCCAGTACATACCTGAGCGGGTTCCAATCACCGCTAAAGACGGGCAGAATAGTGGGATAAAGGCCCCGGGCAATGCAACTAGAACGCCCGAAACCATACCCCAGAACACAGCCCATACAATTGTTCCTGCGACGGAATCAACCACGCTCCAGCAGAATAGTAATATAGAACCGAAGACCAGTGAGACGGAGGTGGTTTCCGTTGGACCAAAGATCGCGGCGGCGACACCAGCCAGGAGTCGGCCTACCGCGGAACTTCCATTTAGGATGGCAAGAAGATCAAACGCCAGATCCGAGCCAACTGATGGAATCCGCACCTTTGTTAACAGCGGCAAATAGAGAAAAGGGATATAGTAAGCCGTCGCGCTGAAAATCGAGCCAATGCATAACACCATGAATGGCGCATCTCTCAGCGCAGATGTGTCGAAGAATCGGCGGATCACTGGCGGTGGCTCTTGGTGGTTGAGCAAGGGGAGATATGAAACGACGTATAGGCTAAGCATGACGAAGGCGATGCTGCGGACTGCCCATCCAAAGCCGACGGAGCGCACGATGCTGCGAAACATAAGGGGGTATACGACGCCGCCTATTCCAAGTCAGCGATTTCATCCTGGTTCCTGGTGCGCGGATGCGTACCGATACTGCTGCCGCACGCCATCAAGCCCATGGCTTTGGCACGAGTGGCGGGGTTCGTAAGGCAGGCTGCTGCCGCCGCAACGCTTGGCGTGAACGCAATCCCTGCGCCTAGTCCCACGCAAATGGCCTGAGTAATGAAGAGCTGGTAATATTCTTTCGATATACTAATCATCATCATACCAAACACCTGTAGGAGGCTACCGGACAGGAGCAGTACTCGGTAATAGGCGTGGTCGTAGAGAGGCCCAGTCACGATTCCCGCAGACAGAACGACGAAGGCTCCGGCTGTCGAAATCCATGCGATGTCCGAGCTGGACTTGTTGCGGATCAGGACTTGTTCGTAGTATGTTTGGAAGACACCGAAGGTAAGAAGGATACCCCTTGTGGGCACGTTAGCGGGCCGATTCCTACAGCAATAGACCCCTCCAGACGACTATTCTTGTGCTGGCTGCTCAACGTTGCGACAGATACTAGCAGCCATCCAGACTTACCAGGTATTGAAGAACACGACGAAGGTGCTGAGAATCTGCAGCCACTGTTTAGGCCCGAGATCGGCAGCAGGCGTTGGTGTTGGTGGCGTTTCCAAGTAAGCCGTGGCGGCCTTCTCTTCCTGGTCTGGCGCCAAGGGCGTTTCCGATGCAGGAGCCATGTTGACGCAGAAAAGCTGCTGAAAAGGATGAAGTCGGGCGACTTTTGTTGCAAGAAAGATATACTACCTGTCGCGTTGGACGAAGCTAGGCAACCGCCCGACGGCGCGGACCCTTTATTGAATACGGCGAAGCCGTGGTTCAATCGGTGCGTGCCCTTTATTGCATGCGGCGAAGCGGTGATTCAACCTGCGCAGGCAATTTACAAACCCGCAAATGGCAGCTTCTTGGGGGCATCAAGGGTGGAACAAAGAACTGTCTCGCCGTAGGTATTCCCGATTGGTCGCGTTGTCTCAGGATTCCTTGTACGTCCGTCGAGGACCACGCATGTACAGCGCAGCAGGGTTCCTCTAACCATTTCGTGGTCGTTATCTGAGGGCGAATGTAGAGTGCTGCGATTGCCTGGAGATCGTCTGATACGTGGGTGCGGCGCAACGGTCAGTACAACCCCCTCCCATGAACGGGCTGTACCGCGCGCACAGGCCCACGAGTCTTGAATGCTCTCAAAATGCTGTTTTCTATGTAAAATACATATAAATAATTATTGTATTAACACATTGTCTCACCACTTTGTATGTCCCCCTTTAGCCTGGATGACTGCCTAACAGCGCTCCCTTATTAACTTTATGTACTTATTGTAGTTACTAAAGGACAATTTCTCCTATTCTTTAAGGAGATACTGCCTTACCTTGTTGTTAGTCTTTAGAAAACGCTTCCCTAGGCAGTATTTTAAGATCTGCTAGACGTTCTTAATAGGGTTGAGGTTAGGTGAGTTTGCTGGCTATGAGATCTTCGGGATACCTAGGGCCTGCTCAGCAGCTATTGTGGCCTTTAATGTATGGATAGATGCGTTATCCTCCATTAAGGTCAGCTCCTTGCCTGTGTACTCCGTGTACGCGTCTTAAAAGGTTATAACTAGAGGCAGGATGTGCTTAATATATACTTCTAAGTTAATTAACTGCTTCTTATTTGTACACTAGCTCTTCTTGTACACAACTAGAGGGCCCTTCATATCCCTTAATATTATCGCCCACACTATGCAGCTAGAGTAGCCTTTGAATCTAGCAACACAGCAGGCAGGCAGGAAGCGCTCCTCAGCGCGCCTTGTCACCCACACTTCGCCAGGGCCAGCCTGGGCGCTCATATCGTCGCTCCAGCCTATACCAGCCCATTAATTGTCGCTCCAGTCAAGGTGCTCCCATGCCTACTAAACCCAGTCTGCCTTGTGTTGCTTAGTGAGGAAGGGTTTCTCTGTAGCCTTACAGCAATAATAGAGCTCCTTCTTAAAGGCCTTAATAAGCGTACGCCAACAGACTGTTATCCCTAGCTCTTAAGCTATCTCCTCTTGAGTTTTCTGTCGTTGCTTAGCGTTCTCAGTCGCATGCCGTACAAGGAGGATTCGGAATGGAGTAGATAGAATAGGAGACTGTCCCTTAGGCTTTGTAGGCGTCTCAGGCGTGCGGAGGCAGAGAGAGACTGTAGAAAGAGGTATCCTAAGTTTCTAAGAGATATCCTTTTGTTTCCAGCCTATCTCGCGTAGGGTGTGGATCTGTATACGCTCCTTGTACGTTAGTTGTTGATTTGGTGTCTTTGGCATTGTGGTGTATCTTGTTAGTGGAGTGAGCTGAACAAGGGACGTAAGTTTGTTAGAGAGCTGCTTACAAAATCTTGTAATTTATTCAGAATATTCTACGCACGGATGTCGGCTTGTGCACGCGGTACAGTCCGCTCATGAGAGCCCCCTGTAGTCGCACCCGCAGCCGACAACGCCCCTCCCGCCGTCAGGCGCATCCGCGTTCTAGCGCCTGGGCGGCGATCCTCTCACACCACACCCTTGCTGCGTCTCTATATTAACCAGTCGCCTTCTTGATACAGTTTCTGCTTCGTTCAACCTCCTTGGACTCTGGCTCCGATAAACACATGATAGTGAGTGTTTCAGCAGCTTCCCGAAATGGCGTCCGAAAAGCTCTTCGAGGCAATCCCTGCATTCCCCGAAAATGTACCCACTGCGCCAGTGCACACGGTGTCGCTGGCGAGCTTGGTTTCGGGGGATGCTACCGCTGCCAGAAGCGTGCTTGATGCATGCCAGGAACTCGGCTTCTTCCTGCTCGATTTGCGCGGCGATGCGCTTGGCAACACCGTCATCAATGAGATCGACAGCCTGTTTGGAGCTGGCCAAGATATCATGAATCTGCCTGCAGAGGTAAAGGAAAAGTACCCACATGATCTGCCCAAGAGCTTTCTAGGGTGATTGCCGTTACCCCCCGGTCCTTCATGCCCGCAGCTCACATAATCCCCAGGTTCAAACCCCGAGGTCTCGCTAAAACGGAGACCAACGAGCCTGATCGCTTTGAGTGGTTCAATCTTGGCCAGGATGGCCTTCTCAACAATACACCGCTCCAGCCACTACCCGATCTTGTGCATACGCATTTGCCTCTTTTTACATCGTTCCTCAAGCATGGCCAAACCATCGTGTCCACCATCAACACCATCCTCGCATCCCAGCTTGGCTTGGCCCCCGATACCTTCACTTCCCGACAGCTACCTACAAAGCCCTCTGGCACTGTCATCCGCCTCATCAAGGCTTACGCATGTCCTGAAGAGGAAGACCTCCGCACAAGCATGATCCACCATACAGATTTTGGCACCATCACTCTACTAGCGAACGTGCTCGGCGGGCTGCAGATTCTCGCGCCAGGTAAAGCTGCGACTGACGAGCAGGCATGGCTCTACGTACGTCCGAAGCCGGGCTGCCTCATTGTGAATCTGGGAGATGCAATGGTACAGTGGTCAGGCGGCTTGCTGCGCAGTAACTGTCATCGGATCAAGTATCCACCGGGTGAGCAGCGATTCCGAGACCGCTACAGTTTAGCTATTCTAGTCAGGCCAGAGCGCGATGCCAGTATGCGGAGCCTGGTGGGTGAGGGTGGTGGCGAGGACGAGAACCTGACAGCTTGGGAATGGGAGGTCAAGAAGGCCATGGCACTTAAGAGAGCTGATGCCGTCATGGAAAGCAAGGGCGGTAAGCCGGTGGCAGTAGTTTGAACATTCCACGAGCAAATACAGTCGCACTAGAACCTAAAAGTATTTTGTTCATTGCAACCGAGCTAGCCGGTTTCCACCGCATTGACCTATCTCTCTATTGTTGATAGACCTGGAAGACTGCAAAAGAGACGGTAGAACGAAAGCGCCTGTATCTCCACACATGCAAAGAATCGTACTAGCCCTGCTTCTAAACCTTAGGCCTTAGACTTCCTTTAGGCCATACCGGCCTACTGTCATTGTGCTCTTGCGATTCCACGTCAATGTTCACCTGTACGGTGATTCCCCTCTCATTCTTCTTCGCAGCCGAGCTGGGACGGTTGAGCCCATCTTTTAGAGGGATTTCATCGTCCGAGTTATCGTGAATTGTGGTGAATTGCCCATTCGGTCCATAGGCAGCGAATTTCCCACGCTTACCGTTATGAAGCCGTTTGTGCTCGGATCCAATCGTCAGGCTATTCGTTGGGCCGTACGACCCAGACTTGGAGGTGCCTCGACTACCTTGGGTGATTACTGTAACAACCTTCTTGTGCATGCTACGTATCAGCGGGAAGATTGCTGGCAGATCGGCGATGAACTCGGCAAGATTACGCTCTACAATGGTGCAGACGTAGACTCTTCGCAAAGCCCAGGACATATCTGGGTCCTTGAAGTCATTGACGAACCCGACGCGGATGATGGAGGCGGCGAAGACACTGTGCAAGTATGAGTAAGCAGGTGCGCAGCAAATATAACGAGGGCTGAGCGGCTTACAGAAGACCGGATCCGGTCAAGGCCAACACGGTGATTTTCTTCTGGAGACTCATCTGTAGATTCCCAAAGAAGTAGATGGGCAAGATTGCGTAGAACAGATCGGTTACACTGGAGATCGCTACGTTCCCCGTTAGCTTCTGGTCATTCAGAGGCTGGTTGAATCAGTCGCCACGTTACGTACCTGTGAATGCAATAATAGAGTTGACCAGAGTCTTTTTAGTGCGGACCGTTCCGGGGACCTCGGGGTGCCAGAGTTTCTCCAACGGCCGCGCCTGCGTAGCCCAGACGATGGTTTGGCTTCCATGGGCAATACAGGTAATAGTTATCAACCCGTAAATGACCCATCGCGACCGGCGGTATGTGCCACGAATGAGGGAGAGGATGAAGAAGCAGATAGATAATTTGACCGACCATATAGCGAGGTTTGCGAGACAAAGAGCAATTTGATTCCATCTTCGCAGCGCTCGCTCTTGGTCTCTGGTCAGGAATTGGAGATGGCGCCCAAAGCCTACTTTTACGGACTCGTACTCGATCGCATTGGAGGCCAGGTTGATGCCCTATGATTTCATGTCAGTTCGTATTCTGGGCGTCTTCTGAGCGGCCGCGTTTACCAGGCTGATAACGATCAAGAAATCTTCAATCTGCAGGGGCAAGCGGCACCACAGCTTCATACCAATGCGCATGGACGTGGATAGGATGATCAAGGCTGTCATCACCGTGGTGGCGATGACGACCACGTAGGCCTCATTTTCGTCTGTCAACGAGGGATTCCACTTGATGGAGGACCTCGTAGACATGGCCGATTATCGTGCCCGAAAAGTTAGTAGAAGAGAAAGCAAATGTAGGATGAACGACGTCTAGCGCGATATCGATAGCTGAGTCTCCATAATCCAGCGAGGGAATGCAGCCACCACGGTCCGGAGGCATCCATCCTTTTGTCAGCGGATGGAGAAGTGATTTACGCGCTTAGCATGCAGTCAGCGTCGGTCAAGGGGGCCCTGTACCACCATCCATACAGTAGTTTGATGGTGGTACCGAGGGTGCGAACCATGGTCTAGGTGGGACCTCGGGATCCAACCTGGGCGTCCGTGCACCTAGCCTAGCCCGCTCAACCCGTGGCGCGTGCTTATGTACGGCTGCGATAAGACCTGCGGCAAGGCGCTGAAGACTTGCGCCCTAGACACCTGCGCAGCACCGCTCAGTCAACCCAGCTCGACATGAGAGAGGATAACAGCTCAAACCCCCGTCTGTCGCGCTTGGCCGAGTCTGCCTACAACTCGCCTTACACCCGGTCGGGCGCCCCAGCCCCCCATCCAAACACGGACCCGTATGCTCCGCTGCGAGCAAAAGCTCTGGCAACCCTCGAGGCCATGGGTTACGATCCTCAGACCATGGTCGAGCGCGGAATCGTCTGGGCTGAGGATCAGGACCCGTTCGGTCACGTCATGCAGTCGCAATACATGACCTTCCTGGGCACCTGCTTCCACCGGGTCATGGAGAGCTATGACGAATTCCTGAATGAGGATGAATACAACGACATGATCCTCGCCAAGACGGTCGTTCCCGTCGTGAGGCGATACGAGCTCGACATCCGGAGGCAGGTCAAGTATCCCGATGCGGTAGGTACCATGTGCGAGGCGGGTGCAGATTAGGCTAACCTGCTAACTTGAAACAGCTCATCGCAGCGTATCGGGAGGATCTCATTGAGCCCACCCGCAACAGCGGAACGACTTCGCTCTTCTCTCTCAAGCAGCAGGCTATTGTTGCCGAAGTCAAGGGCTCCGTCACCTACATGGATGTGAGGACCGGACGGCCTGTCGACATCCGTACGCTTGGCGGCGGATGGCCGAAGGTGTTTGAAGGATTCACCAAGAAGGCGGAGCATGCGAAGATGCTGAAGGAGAAATGGGACAGGGAGCACCCGAAGTCCGACAAGAGCATAGCAACTTCGAAGATTTGACCTTTAGTAGAGTTGAGTGTAGCTCTAATCCATTGAGCCATTGCTGGCTGGGTACTGCGATGGGCAAAGGCAATTTTAGCTCGAAGTGGGGAAGCCCATTTCCCGACGAAAGCAAAACCTTCACTGAAGAAGGCTATCGAGGGTTTGGGCCTGAGAATAATTGCTCCTGTAGACGATCATAACTACCTAGCGCAGGCTCTATTGCAACTCAAAAGTGACATGTTTTCTCTCGCTTGAAAGTAATAGGACCTGTATACCCAATGACTAGCTTTGGTTGGATACCACTCGCTCTTTGAATTGAATGAACGGACCGTTCAACCAACCAGCAATAGAGTAATGGCTCTCAAAAATCAATTCCTTGTCTGCTCCAACCTCATCTGGGGTATTCGACCAAACATGAGGGGCAGTCTTCTGCTCTCTGCCGCTCAACTTGAAGTCATAATTTACCAGGATATGCGCATACGCAATACTAGCAATCATGACAGCGACATGGCCACCAGCGCAGTTCCTCGGCCCAATGGAGAACGGCGTGAACATCTTCCGGGCAAACGCCTGTTCAGTTTCGGGCAGCATGTCGCGGATCCAGCGCTCTGGCCAGAATCGGACTGGATCACGGAAGATCCTGCCGTCTCTGAACAACGCGAAGAGACTCATGCCCACATCGGCGCCCACAGGCATGGGGACCTGAGCTGCGCCGATGGTGACGCCATCCTGCTCACACTCTCGCCAGTGGACGCCGCATGCTGGAGGGAGAAGACGCATGACTTCGTCGATGACGGCGCGGAGATAGACGCTTGACTCGAGTTCTTTTCCCCACACGATTCTCTCGCCGGGCTTGAATTTGCTGCGCATTTCTGTTGCGAGTCTCTCGTACACATGCGCGTAGTGGGAGAGATAGTGCAAAAACCCTGAAATCATCATGCCGTAGCCATCAGCCGAGGAAAAGGTGCTGAAAGCGCCTTCGCCGATCATGTTGGCCCAGTTATGTCCAGGCTTCTCCAGGTTGCCGTAACCGCTTTGGATAACCGGGCCAAAGATGCCCTTGGGTTGGGTGGCATTGGTGGCAAGCGCTTGGTCAAGGAACTTTTGGAACCAGCTGGCGAATTGGTTTGCTTTGGGAGATAGGAGAGGGAAAATCCAGCTGACGAAGTCGCCGACTCCGAGGTCATTAAGGACTGGTAATTGTTCCCAGAGACCCATTTTCTTCTCGTGGGTGTAGAGTGCGAGGAATACGTAGTCCCTGGCTGAGTCGCACAGCAAGTTCGTTTTTATGCCCAAGCCAAAGTCCGACATGGTGTCGAATCCCAAACACAGGTCTATAGTACGTCAGCTAGTATTTATGGCGCGGGAAGTCATGGATAACTTGCTCCATTTTCTCATGTCACCTGCAGCGCTCCAACCGTCGCTATCCTTGGTCTTGGTAAGTTGAGAGAAGTATACCTCCAAGTTTCGAAGTATTGCCGGCTCATAACGTGCGAGGTTTTCAGCAGTGACGCCGGATCTGAAAACCCTACGGAGATTATGATGCAGACGTTTGTCGATAGAGGTCATTGTGCTCCAGCCATCCGGGAGTGGTAGCATGGTCGCATAGCCTTTTGATTTGTGGAATGGCTTCCCATGGGCGTAGATTGTGGCCATGTCCGAAGGATAGAGAGAGAGAATCTGATTTGGGGCATATCGTATTAAATCACCTGCAAGCTGTTAGGGACAATCTCGTGCTGGGGCACAATGGCAGTACAACGGACCGTATTGCTGATGACGTCTTTGTATGTCTAGGTGCATTGTGCCTCTCCACGAGTGCCATGCTGAGTATAGACTAGTCACTTTGGCCAAAAATGGACCCGGGACATTGCTGAACGGATGGAAAAAGAGTCTTCGAATGGCGATGCCAGCAACCTGGTTAAAGCGATATAAATTTGGAAGTCATCGGTATTCCGAGGGAATACTCACGATCACCAGAGTTGCAGCGCTCATCCAGACAGCATACTGGTACATGATTGCTGTTGTGGTCGCTCCGGATTGGAATGGTATGCGCCCCGATGTAAAACCGTGTGGTGGGTGAGTGGATTTGAAGATCGTTGTTGGACGATAGCTCTTGTGAGAATATACGTTCGTGGCCGATTGATGCCTGCAATTCGGGCGTAAACTTTGTTCTTCGACCTATTTCCCAAAACCTTATGCGTTGATACCGGTTAGAAACTGTGCTGCCGGGCAGGCTTGTAGGCAACTGGCACAATATCTGGCTCTGTGCCGCCCCGCAATCTGGCTGGCTGCATGTGTTCCGGCGCAGGTGGTCAGATCAACACACCGACTATCGCGCTCGGTGAACTCCAAGAGCACAATATCAGAACATTTTTTGATAATTTGCGTGTGATTGGGGGCTGAGGTACCATCATTGATCCGTACTCTCCTGACTGTGTGTCATCCTTGTAGCGAGTGTGCCTTGCTAGGACACACGGCGTAGGACTTCGTTGGAAATTAATGGTGACCTGAGACAGAAAGCTACAATGTTGTCGATACCGAGATTGCCGATAAATTAACTGTCGACCTCATTGAGACGTGGCACAAAAACGGGTCCGCAGCACACTAGTGTCAGCCGCAGATTCGCAGTCTTAGCTATAACCCGTAATGAGTATCCAGCCCGGAAAGCAACGTCTACCAACCAGGGACGGGGGGTTTCTGGTGTCTGGGTGCGCTTTAAATTGCTCGTGCCTGCCCGCATAGTCATGATCCGCGGTAACCTTGTCAGGTTCGTGAATGGATCACCGCCCTCGCCAAGCGGTATCGCACCGGAATAGGATAAGATTCACTATACCGAAGTCAGATGTCATTGTGCTGTCTCTATAGCTTGCATCCGGAAGCCTTGTTGATATTTTATTGAATTCAAGCAATGATGGCAAGCCAGCAACAAAAACGCCCTCCCCAGCGTATTGCGATCGTAGGTGGTGGCATCGCAGGCATCGCCTGCTCGTGGACTCTACGAGAACAAGACTGCAATGTTGACATCTATGAGGCCGATGATAGACTGGGTGGACATGCGAATTCTGTACCGTTCAAGGGGGATGGACGAACGGTCAACGTGGACACCGGGTTTATTGCAATGGATGAGACCACATATCGTGAGCATACCTTGAGGTCCCTGGCTTCCTACTACAGAGTTCGCTAATGTCGAGTAGCACAGTTTACTGCTTTCTTGCGAAAGCTCGGCGTCAAGACCATCCCTACGGATATGTCCTTTGGAGTATCTGCTGATCACGGAGCCTTCGAATGGGGCAGCTATTCGATACAAAGTTTCTGCCATAACCTTGTGTTACTGTTCAGCATCTGGTTTTGGAGGCTCGTTTTCGATATCTTACGGTTCAGTTTGTTCGCGGAAGACATCTTAGACGAAGATCATTCGAGTCACGAGTCCTATGAAGCCGGAACCCGACCTTCAGAAATTATTCCGACCAGACGGCAGCTGGAGTCGATCGGAACGTACCTAAAAAGGCACAAGTACTCGGAGCAGTTCATGACCTACTTTCTGATGCCCATGGTGGCAGCACCATGGTGCATTGATCCGGACGAGTTTGCATGCACTTTTCCTGCAAAGCTACTAATCAAGTTCATGTAAGTTTTCAGTGGAAGTCTACCCGGGGCGCGAATTTCAAGTACTCACATAGATAAAGGCTGTATCACCGTCTCCTGGACACGGTAGCTACAACACTTAGATGGCAGTCTTTCCGTAATGGCTCTAAAACATACGTGGATGCGTTCCAGAAACAGCTACCTGCCAATCATCGGCTACATTTGGGGACGGACATCAAGAGTGTCACTCAGCTGCCCAACGGAGCGTCGATCGAATTTACCGATGGCTCTCACAGAGAATTCGACCATGTAGTGCTTGCCATTCACGCGAACCAAGCTTTGCAGCTTCTTGGGGATGGAGCGACATGCACGCAGCGCACAGTCCTCAACGCTTTCAAAACGAGCCGTAACGTGTGCTATCTACATTCAGACACATCAGTAAGTCTCTTTGTTTAAGATGGAAGCTCCATCTCTGACCTACTTAGCTCCTCCCAAAACGCCGTTCGGCCCGTGTAGCATGGAACTGCCTCCTCGATCAGCAACCACTGGCGAAGCTCACCCAAACTCATCCCACACCAGGTCATCGGTCTTGTTCCGCGCAGCCTCGTTCCAAGATTTCCATCACTTTCGACATGAATAAACTGCAGGACATACCAGTACCTGGAGAGATTGGAAGCCCGGGAAGAGTTCTAGTAACTATGAACCCAATCCGTACTCCCAGAGCACCGCAAAGCAGGCGGATTTACTACCATCCACTCATCACCTCAGAAAGCATCATCATGTCTCGGCACTTGGATAGGATCAATGGCATCCGAAATGTGAGTTTTGCTGGCGCTTGGATGGGGTTTGGGTTTCATGAGGACGGATTTGCGGCAGGGTCACACGTCGCCAGGATGCTCATCGATGGGCGTGAGAAGACAGGTCCATTGGACCTTGTTGCCAGGGTAGACAGTAATGTGAATAGGGAGGTAGGTTTCATAAGGTCGGCTCTAAGGATAGCAGTATTTGCTATACAAAAACTGTTCCTATAAACCTCGAAATGTTACACCCCACTTTAAGCCGCGCTATCCGACGCTAGAAAGCTCAGAACTAGATAAAATACGGGCAGGTAGAATTGCTCTGCCAGTACTAAGCGTGTAAGTTATTTTCAAGTGGGGAAAATTGTTTCGACGCTTACCGTGGTGGGTGTTTACGAAGTATCAAGCGTTGATGCGGCTTCAGTACGCGGTCATCCCTTTTACCACAACGACGATCCTGGAGCTCCAAAGCGCAGCCCGAATCTATTGAACTATGGGACAGTACCTCTGCGCAGTGCACACGTATAGAGCTGCAAGACTTCCTGGCAAGCTAATTGTAAGACCTAAGCCAAGCTGGTTACTTTGTTCTTTCATAAAACCTTTTGAACTTGATGTAGTTTGTAGGCCATGCATAGCCTGAGCTGGAGCCAAGCCCGTGTCAGGCGTACGAGTCGGAAGCCGCAAAGCTGGCGGAGAAGAAGAAGAGGGGGAGTATGTCGAGGTGAACACGGCCTGGTTTACTAAGTTGCTGATAACATGCTGAAGTAGTAAAGATATATTTTATTTATCTTAATATATTTATTAACTACTACTAGAATTATTATAACGCGTAGCTATAATAATAACGCCTTAAAGAAAGAACGCTATAGTACTAGCTACTTGTTAACTAACTAAAAGAGATAAAATCTCTCTTACTTTATATAAAATAAGATAGATTTTAACTTTATACTTATTCTCTTAAATATATTAATTACTTTTAAGTCCTACTTACTATTACTAAAATCTCTTATTATTATTTCAAAATCTTTATTTTATTTTTTTTAGAAGATAGTAGTTTAGAACGCTTAATAGTAACTATATAAATAAGTAACTTAACGCTAATATAATAACTTAATATATATAATATAAAAATAAAATAAAAGCTATTAGTTTTTTATTTAAAAAACTTTTATTTCTTTAACTTATAAAAAAGTTATTATTATACATGTAGGATCCTGTACTTTGATTAGGGGTTTACACAGAGGCTTTGTCTAAAGGCCCTAAGAGTGGCTCTAACCCTAGTACTGTAACGATTCTACGAATCGTTCCATCTCGGGTCGCTCGGATCCTATCCGAAGGGTCCCCGTATCGGCCCCGACCATGACTCGACCCAGTCCTCTGCAGTTACCTCTATTCCCTTATGTATTTAGTCGCACCTTGCCCCTGTAGCTAGCTTAGTAGTTTTCTAATATCCTTTTGTATAAGGCCTATAAGTGTTAATAGCATTCCTAGGTTTAGAGTCCCCACGCACTTCTATATGCCTCCAAGTAGATTCCTACTGCATTTAGACTTATTGTCTTGCCTGCGCTGTTACATTATATTAGAAAACTTACTTTTACTAGTAACAGCCTTATATAATATTATATTAATTATTTGTTTAACTATATTTAACTCTAAAAAGTGTTTAATTTAGTTTATGTCTGTACGCAGCAGCAGCGTCGCGGCCTGGATACGAGCGATCGCGCACGAGCAGGATCACGTATCTATGTCACATGATGCTCATGCGCGAACCTCTGTGCGCGAACATCTAGATATCCCCCTTTTTCTCTGTACAGAGGAAAGACAAGAGTAATAGAACTAGAAACATGTTGCCCTTACTTTACCTACCTTATACACTGTGCACACTGTACACTACTCTTACTCTTGCTACTTAAGTGCTTATACTATAAGCAGCTAGCTATTAGAGCCTATTTAACACTAATTAGTAGTTAATTTAATTAACTGTAAATTAGCAAAAGTAATAATAGAGTACCTACGCCTTATAAGGTACTTTATTTTATTACCTATTTCTTAGAAAGAGTAACAGTAGAGTACTTACACTTTATAAGGTACTTTATTTAGTTACTTATCTTTTAAGATAGTAGATTAATTCTTTGCATTATACAGTAAGCTCTGCTACTATATAAAGTAAAGAGGAGATAGTGTAAGACGCACACTAAAGCTACTAAAGCTGCATAACCTAGTAGCTAGATAATAGCACATTAATTTTTTACATTGTATAGCAAGCTCTGCTACTGTACAAAGTAAGAAGGAGATAGTGTAAGGCGCACACTAAAGCTATTAAAGCTGCACAACCTAGCAGCTAGACAACAGCAGTACCTGCGTAATCTACTAAAAAAGTAATTAACTATACTATTATAATAAAGTCTTATTAGCAACTAATAACTCTATGTAATAATAAAAAGAATAAAAAATAATTTTTATTATATAAATAACTTATAAAGAACATAGAGATATTAAAAGTAACACTATAAAATAAGACTAGCCTAGAGTACTAGAATAACAAGATTAACATGTTAAAGGCTTTAATAAGCCTGTAAACTTAATTATATATAAGTTACATAATTACTAATTTACACATAATAACTTAAAAAAGCGCTACTTTTCTAAGTGTGTATATAAAAAATTTTAAAGAATAGACACTATAAAACTTCTTAGCACTTAGCTATGTGTTTAAAAGAGAGCTTATATAAGTGCTAGAAGACAAGAAAATTACACTACAGCTAGGCACTAAAGGTACCTAAGCCTAGAAGCTATATAATATAGCATAAAAGAAGGTAATTACACTAAAAAGGCTTTATATATAACTTTTATTACTATATAAAGCTTTGCATAGAAGCAGACTAAACATAATGCTGCTATTAACACTAAATATACTAGCATTACCTGCTTTTACACCTTAGCTAGCACTACACTAATTACTGTATAAATAATACATGCCACTCTACCTAACGCCTGCTCTACACCCTTAATTGTACACACCACCGCCTGCAGTAGTGTATGCACCACTAATACCACCTGCACAATCTATACTACATTACAACCTGTATAAACTTCTACCCTAGAGGGAAACTGCTAAAGAAAAACTTCTAGTAAATAAAATTATATAATTCTAAAAAGCATTAAAAAAAATAATAACTATATAAGTTAACTATATAACATTTTTATAAATAAAATAAAAAATTTTATTAATCTATATTAATAGCTAGATATTTAGAAAACTTAGTACACAGACATCTTTCTAGATATTTTAAAAAGTTAGGTAAATATGTACTATATATATAACATAAGCCCTAGATATAACTAGAAGCATTTATATAACACCTTAAGTAGTTACTTTAACACTAATGTAAACTATAGCTAGTACTAGACAAACTAGACAATAATAACTTTTATATAATACTAATAAAAAAACTTTAATAAAAGTTTATATAAAGTTTTTAAAATAATAATTAATAAGCTTACACTTATATAAAAAGTACTAAAAATAAAATTTTAAAAGAATGTTCTACTGCACACTGCTGTTATATAAGCTTGTTAAGGATAACTAGAACTAGAACATACTATGTTTACTATTAAGCCCTTATATAAAGCCTTATTTAGCAACTTACAGGCATTACTTTAAGTTACTATAGACTAAAGGGTAAACTAATACTTCTAGAAACTGCTTAATGTATACTACATAAACTGCTAATATAACTCTGCATAATAAAAGTCTGCATAACAAGAAAAAAGCTTCTTTTTGCGTAAAAAAAAACAACATAAAAGATCTTTATCTAGGTTTAGGCTATAATCTAGAGACAACTGCACGCAGATAAAGAAGTGCTTTGTCTACTATAAAAAAAAATGTTAGTTATTAAACTACTCTTATAATAACTATACATAAGCAAAGAACTAGTATGTTACCTTATATAAAAATTTCTATAATAAGACTTTATTATATAAAGCTATTACCTTATATATCTAAGACTTTAAAGGTTACCCTAAGAAAGAGAATAATTTACATAATATAAAGAAAATAAAATAAGAAAGTAAGGATGCTAAAAAAGCTATTAACTACTTTACCTTTACTGCCTATCTACACTGTGTAACAGAAAAGGACATCTATAGCATTAAACTTAAAGAATATGCTAAGCAGTTTATTCTTAACAACTAATACTATATAGTATACTAAGGTAAACTATAGAATATAAGCGCAGTAAAGATCTCTACTATTAGTAAGTTCTAACTTAAAGCGTACATATAAGAGAACCTATGTATAGAAATTAATTAGACACCTAGCTAAACAGATATTAGCTTTAAAGGCTAAACACTAAAAGAATTAATTAGTACTATACAAATCTAGAACCTAATTAGTCTAGTTATATACTATATTTTAGAGAATTTAACACTATTTTTACTATTACTAGCAGATGCTAACTAACTTAGGGCATACTTTAATAATGTTTTAAATGTTATTATATATAAAAACAAAACTACTGTTCTTATTATATAAAAATAGAGACACTTTTTTTTTAATATTAGTAAAAAAGAATTTATGTTTTTCTTTACTAAATTAAAACTTTACTGCCTCTACTACTAATTTAGACACCCCTGCATAAAGAAACTCTAGAAGATGCTAACTAGCGCTAGCTATAATGTTAATGCTGCAGTGCTAGAAAAAATTAAGAAGTTCTGCTACCTCTGCTAATTATATAACTAGGCTTTATAAAGATTTAAGTTTATAATTAAAAATAACACTTACTTTAACTATAAAGTTATTATTAATGTTGTATAAATTAATAATAAAAATGTTTTACATATTATTAATGTAGACATATTATTTTAGGCTGCTATATTTCTAAAATCTATGTCTGCATAAGATACCTAGGATGCACTATGCAAATGCTAGATTAATACTTATTAAGGACCTCTAGACTATATTATGCATAACTCTAGTATAAACTTTGCTTTAAAGGATTTTTAAGCTTATATAAAGATTATAGGAGCTATATATAGGTAGATGCCTGTAGAAGTATATTAGGTAGTTAAAAAAGTTAAACACGCGCACACACCTCTCTAATAAGTGTTTAACATCCTAAAGACTAAGCTAGGTAACTGTATAGATAATAAGGCTATCTTATAGATAGCAGTTAAGGCTCTAAACAACATAGCTAGCCTACACAGTCTAGTACCTACGCTGCTAGTCTTTAAGGTATACCTAAAAATTAACCTAAACTTTTTACTATTACTAAACATTATTACATAAGCAAGTGCTATATAAAAGGTAATAAAAATACTTTAAAAGAACTATGTAAAAGTAAACATTAATTATATAATTAACACCTATAATAGCCTTATAATGTATAAAGTTTTTAACTTCCTCCTTAGCTTAGAGATTATAGCATAGAGGGAGAAAAAAAGCTAGACTAGCCTATATAAGATTAAAAGCATTAAAGAGAGAAACATTATTATTAAAAGAAAAAATAGCCTACTAAAGCTCTAATATATGCAGGTTAAACTATACTATAAAGAAAAAAAAAAGACAACTTACTTATAATAAATAACCTAGATAAACTAATCCTTATATAAAGGGATTTTCTAAAGAAAAGAAAAAGAGGACAGCTTTATAAAAATATTACAAAGGCAGAACTAAAGCCTACTATAGACTAAGCCCCTTAGAATAGCAATACTGCACTAGTGCAAAGAGAAGATATAGATACTAGAAAAAGTAAAAAGTAAAGGAAACCTGCATAAAGTCTAGACTAGGTATTTCTAACCTAGAAGAAGAAGAATAATTAAGCTTTATCTATTAAGCTCTATACAAACAGTGTAATTACTACACCTAAAAAACTATTTAAAGAATTAGACTATATAAAGATAGACACCTTAATTACTAATAGCACTTTTAAAGTTATAGCATATAACTTAATAAGGCATAAAAGTTAGATTTTTAACCTTTACTTTATATAAGAAGTAAAAAGTAAAATAACTTAACTATATAAAAAATCCTGCCTAGTGTTTGCTAGCTACTTAGACAAAAAGAAAGAAGAAATTCTTACCTAGTTACTAACTATTTAGAGAATAAGCTAGAGACTACTCTTAGCTATAGAAGTAAGCCTAAGAGCTACATATAAAATGCATTTTAAACTATGTAATATTACATAAGTATACATCTAATTAATAAATAAGCTTATGCGCACGCTGTACGCAAAGCTACTAAAGAAAATGCGCTAGAGCTTTCTACTAAATATAATACTCTAGGTTGTACAACCTTTGTATAGAGCTGCTAAATTAGGACTGTATTAGTTTAAAACATACTATAACTACTATAAAAAAAAGC